ACTGGAAGCCGCTGGAAAGAGAAAGTGAGCGCTCTGCTTTGAGACTATAATGGACAGAGTTTTTACCAGCCCGTAAGTGGTTTGGCATCCTTCTTTCCCAGGAATTACCTAGAAATTCATTTAACATCTAAAGACTACAAATGAACTTCAGAAGGCTAAAAGTACATGAAGAGAAGGGCAGCGGGGCTCGTATTCTCTCACCCTCATCTTAAAGATATACGATCCTGGGCTTCCCTGGTGGCGCAGTGGTTGAGAGTCCGCCTGCCAATGCAGGGGACGCGGGTTCGTGCCCCAGTCCGGGAGGATCCTACATGCCGCGGAGCGGCTGGGCCCGTGAGCCATGGCCGCTGGGTCTGCGCGTCCGGAGCCTGTGCTCCGCAGCGGGAGAGGCTGCAGCAGTGAGAGGCCCGCGTACCGCAAAGAAAAAAAAAAAAAAAAGATATATGATCCTTATGGAGAGAAAAGTAAACTCCCAGAAGGTGGTAATCAAGAATCAAAGCCAGGGACTTCCCTGGTGGTACAGTGGTTAGGAATCCGCCTGCCAATGCAGGGGAGACGGGTTCAAGCCCTGGTCTGGGAAGATCCCACATACCGCGGAGCAACTAAGCCTGTGCACCACAACTGCTGAGCCTGCGCTCTAGAGCCCCCGAGCCACAACTACTGAGCCTGCGTGCCACAACTACTGAAGCCTGCGCGCCACAACTACTGAAGACTGTGCGCCTAGAGCCCGTGCTCTGCAACGAGAAGCCACCACAATGAGAAGCCCGCGCACCGCAACGAAGAGTAGCCCCCGCTCGCCACAACTAGAGAAAGCCCACGCACAGCAATGAAGACCCAACACAGCCAAAAATAAACAAATAAATTTATATATTTTTAAAAAAAAGAATCAAAGCCAAAGATGACCTGGTCTTAATTCTAACTCAGTCACTAACTTCTTCAGTAACTTTCAGAGAGTTGCTTACCTTTCCTGTTTCTGCTTCCTCATCTGTAAAATGGAACTATAACTGCATAGAGACTCACCAAAGTGTTACAAGGAATAATTAGTTAGCATTTATATAATACTTTTGATCTTCAAAGTAGCATTATTAGACTATAAAGTAGAGTAGACGTGGTTTGAAAAATCTTTTTAAAACCTAAAATAAAGTATGCAAGCAAATTCAGAGACGCAAAACAGGCTGACCTCATCTCCCAACAGCCAGATCTCTTTACCCCCATAGACAGCCATTTTCTGCCCTAATCTGTACTTGCATGTAGAGACAAAGGTATAAATCTTTTATTGGGAAAATTGGAGGAGGTGGAAAGAAGAGAGAAAGGAGAAAGAGAAGGTTAGAGGAGAGGCACTAAAGAAAACATAAAAGGGAAGAGAGATAAGAAGAGAGAAAAATAAGGGGCAAGGGGCTTCCCTGGTGGCACAGTGGTTAAGAACCACCTGCTAATTCACGGGACATGGGTTCAAGCCCTGGTCCGGGAAGATCACACATGCCATGGAGCAACTAAGCCCATGTGTCACAACTACTGAGCCTGCGCTCTAGATCCTGCGAGACACAACTACTGAGTCTGCATGCCACAACTACTGAAGCCCACGTGCCTAGAGCCCGTGCTCCACAACAAGAGAAGCCACAGCAGTGAGAAGCCCGCACACCGCAACGAAGAGTAGCCCCCGCTCGCTGCAACTAGAGAAAGCCCGTGCACAGCAATGAAGACCCAACACAGCCAAAGATAAAAAAATAAAACAAATTTTTAAAAAACTTTTTTAAGAAAGGAGGACAAGAAGGGAATAGAAAGCAGCAAGAAATAGAGAGGCAAATCCTAACCCCTAGAAGAAGAGCAAAAACAGGAAGAGAGGAAGAAAAACAAAGAGAAATGGAAAAGAAAACTTCATTAGGGAACAAATATAAAGTGTATCCTGTTTTCAGAGAAAAAAGAAGGTTAAATTTTTTTTAAGTTAATTAAAAAGAAAAAGCGGAGGACAAAGAGCAGAGGATAGAGAAAGAGAACATAAAGCTTTAAAGAGTATGTCTGGAAACCAGAAAGCTGGAAGGGAAATCATTAGCAAGTCCACAGTGCGTCTACAGTGATACTGCGTGGATCAATTCATTTAACGCTGCCCTGTACATTTACAGAAAAGTACCTCTGATATAATAAAGGCTCATAAACACGCAGAAATTGGGTTAGACCCGTTTCGAATTCCTGCCAAACAATGGTTCAGAAAAATGAAGCTTTATTTTAATTAGCTGGACTCATGAGTGATTTGATAACAGCAGATGCTGTCTGGATGCTTTCAGCTTGATGGGCTCCACATACATGAACTTAGAGTGGTTTTGATGCAATTAGGTGTTTCTTTCTGTTCCAACATGCCAGGCCCTAGGACCAAAACCTATGTGTAGCCCCTACATGTTACTGTATTTATCTACATATTAATATTTCAAATCATGAAGATGAGAAAAGTGACCACATAATAGAAGTAGAAAAGTAGTTTTCAAAGTCACTGGTGAGTAGACGAAAATATTCTCGTGATGTATTTTTTCTTTCCACTGGGGAAAGAGAAGTTGGGTAGCTGAGAAAAAGCCACACAGGGCAGCATCGTATAGAAATATTTAAAGCCAAAGCTGAGACACAACAGACTGTGTACTTCCAGTTTTGCAATTCCAGTCCAGTGTTACGGCAAAGGATTAGCACGCTTAATGCACAGCCTGACCTGGGACTAAGTGGCCTTCAAAATGTTCTTTGTAATCAGGCATCCTATTATAACCCAGCTCACCGCTCCCTGAGACAGGCGGTGGTGTTCAGGACCACAACCCTGCAAGTCCAAGTATTTCCACCAGGTGCTTTCAAGCTGGGCATCTTACTGCCCCTCTCTCCCTTTTAAGCACTCTCTCTTCCAAAGAGCATTCTGTTTGCTTTTCCCCCAGCACTCACTGCCCTCTCTGCTAGGACCGCTTAGAATACCACCACCCACATGCATGGAGCTGCTAAAGGACCTGCATAAAGCCAGAGCGGCTTCCAGCATAGGGACTCACCTAATAGGAGGACCCGATCTGTTAATTTTCTGTCAGTTTGTCACAGCTGGCCTGAGAAGGGGAAGATTATGAGAAGGGGTGTAGGGAGAAAGCTCTCTACTAGGTGTGCCAGTAGTCTTCCTGAAATTCTGAATCAGGCTTTCAAAATCGTTCACCCCCTGCTGAATGACAGGTAGTACAGAGGGTGGAAAAAGAGAGACGCCAGAGTTTTGACTGACTCCCTCGCACAGAAGCGGGGCGTGGGGGTGGGGGCACTTGAACCCCACGACTACCACTGCAAGCGCACAGGGAGAAACACACACCCCCTCACTCTCTCTCTGAGAGGACAAAACAGACATGATGACCTTCACACCAGCTCCCCTTCACTGGCGCTAACAAGCTGAGCACTGTAAATCAAGGATGAAATCCCTGTGCCAGGAAAGCAAAGGAGAAACATTTCTTCTGTAAAGAGCCCAAGGATGCTGCCTGCTTCTGAATCAGCATTTCAGGGCAAGTGTTTGGAAAGCAGGAAGCTCCATGCCAGCAACTGAAGGAAAAATATGTATTTATTATATATAGTAGGCCTTCTTCAAAAGTTATTTATTTCACAAAACCACTCTGCTAAATAGAGGTTTCAATCTAATTGGAACTGCAATCTGCATATTGTAAATGCACAAAATGACAGTCTTTGAGATTTTGTTCTCCTCCACAGTTTATGGGTTCACAATTAGTAGATTTCTCAACATACATACAAGAATGTAAGAGTACAGAGGAGTATCCTTTAAAATATATATAGGGACTTCCCTGGTGGCACAGTGGTTAAGAATCTGCCTGCCAATGCAAGGGACATGGGTTCGATGCCTGGTCTGGGAAGATCCCACATGCCGCGGAGCAACTAAGCCCATGCGCCACAACTACTGAGCCTGCGCTGTAGAGCCCGCGAGCCACAACTATTGAGCCCGTATGCCGCAACTACTGAAGCCCGCACACCTAGCACCCGTGCTCCGCAACAAGAGAAGCCACCGCAATGAGAAGCCCGTGCACCGCAACGTAGAGTAGCCCCTGCTCGCCGCAACTAGAGAAAAGCCTGTGCTCAGCAACACAGACCCAATGCAGCCAAAAATAAATAAATAAATAATTTTTTTAATGCTTTAAAATATATATATTGTATAAAAAAATTTTTTTCAGCCCCTTGTATACCCCAGAGGAGGGGCAGAGGGTCCAAGCTGTGAAATGGGAGGATGCTTACAATACCTCCAAGGAGACAAAGCCAATCAGGGGAAAGGAGGCTGGTGGCAGCTGCCCGAGTGTTCAGGCACACAGGGCTTTGATGAGACCCCATTCACCACTAGCCTTTTCTTTCCTTTCTCGGGGAGGCAAGGAGGGAATCCCTACTCATCCCAACTCTCTCCACTCCTATCCACATCCCAAATGAGCCATGGTTAATTAACAGAGATGCAAATAGTCACGGACTGAAATAAAGGTTTTTAACAGGAAGTAAAAGGAGACCTTATAAATCATACAGAAAAATAAAAAAGAAGAGGGAGAGAGAGAAAGTATCCAGAGCAAAAGGTCACACTACCAATAACTGAGGAAATGAAGAAGAAAAGGGACAGGTCAGGACTTCCCAAAAGGTCTAAAATTGTCTGCTTGTACCTCTGGGTTCACATCAAAAAGTGATTTATGACAGAGGAGACACTGTTCTGGGGAAGAGAAGTGGGTACCAAGATTCTGGAGTCCCATATGCGCCCGGGACTTATCTTCCTAGATTGCATCCAAATTAACCTTCTGCTCCCTGTTGCTCTCACTCACTTCAAGAAAAAAAAATTATTTAATTTTTTCAAACATTGCATCCCTAGAGCCCAAAGATATCCTTTGCTTCCTTAAAAACTAAGCATCTTCCAATTTACGGCAACTCCTTTCTGCCCTCCATACTCTGACAATGCCAGCCTCTCTGTCACAGGGTGTAACCTTCATTAAAAAAAAAAAAAAAAATCAGAGCTTCAGCTTCCCATTAAAAAAAAATAAAGATAGAAAGATAGGACGAATAAATATGAATTTGAAGGGGAATTCTGCCAAAACCCAAACCTCCCAAATCTGGTTCAGCCACATTCTTGCCCACAGCCTGTACTTCTCGGTGCCTCCCTGCATTTTTCAAAATGCAGCTGCACAGACCTCTTAAAATTCAGATTTCTAGCACCTATAATTACAGGGAGCTCGAGCCAGGCTCCTTTAATTAATGAACCTGACTCCTCTCTCTTCCGAGGAAATCTGCATAAGGGATGTATCACACAGGGGTGAACTGGCCCCTGATCAGTGCTATCTGCTCTCTCTGCCAGATGAGCCAGCACTGCACCTCCAACAGGAGCACGAAGTTGCCCCCACCCCGCCTCCACCATATAACCCGATCTGGCACAAGCCCATAATGCAGTTAAGGCCATAAGACATTTCTTGGAACTTAAGGGAAGAGAATGATGCTTTCCTGGGTGTGACCAGCCAAATCCAAAGAGAATGAGATTCTCCCCGGTTCAAATGCTCCCCTGATTTTACTCTCTTCCCTCTGCTGGGATGAAAAGCAGAGGGTGCAGGCAGAAGCCACTGTTCAAGGCTGGACAAGCAACAGAGGGAGTAGCCTGGGCTTCGAAAACTCTGGAAAAGAAATGAACACAACAAGCCTGGGATTGACATGCATCCCAAAGCTGAAACAAAACTGGTAAGAAAAGCCATGCCTCTTTAAAGCAAAACAGGTGGAAAGGGGTCATGATACTGAGGATACTGTTCACAGGTCTGGAGAAGAATTTGAGCACATCCCAAGGACGATATACTGACCACAAGAGCTGTTCCCAGGTGGTCCTCACTGATTCTTGATACTACTCCTTTCTAAGCCAATCCCTGATTAGCACTTTTTAAAGAACTGGTCTGCCTTCTGGCTGCTCTGGGCAGCACAGCCTAATGCTGTCTGTATCTGCTGCACGTGCCAGGACAGCCTATAGCCACTCTCCTGAAAGTGGGTAAAAGCTGGTTTGTAACCGTGTTCTCTGGAAAGGAGGCTGCCTTTGGCTATAACAAAGAATGGAAATGGTTGCAAACAAAGCCACAGATGCCAGAACAGACAAGGCCTGGGTCAAATCAAGACGACCCCAGGTAAAGTTTCAGTAGGAGATTTGAGATCCAGTAGAAGATGCCAATGGATTTGGCAATAATAAAAACAGGTTTGGTTCAGCCACTACCATCTGATAACTGTTTCTCAAGGGCCCCTCAGGCCCACAGCAAACCCAGTGGGGCAACAGTTGTTTTACTGACCAAATAAACATACCAATTCTACAGGTAAAGTTGTCAGACTATGTACCCAGTAACACACCTTCTGAGGTTTTCGCAGTTTCTCATTCGTGATTTGGGCTATAAAACGAGGCTAAGGAGCTACTGGAGAACATCACTGGGGTCAACCAATAAAAATTTGAGTTGTGTTGTCCTAGCTTCTTAGTTCTTCCCAGGGGACTTTACAGTGTAGGTGTCAAAAACTAAATTTGATCATTCTGTATTCTGCCAGGAAAGGAGGCTTCAACGTTCCAGTGACTTTCTGCTGCTGTGAATACAATTTCGGAAGAAAGGAGAAAAAAAAACAGTAACATCAGTCTATCCAATGGTTAAACCCTCAGATTAAAGCAAGGCATGCTTACTGATGGCTGAGTCTAACTCCGTGCGCCTGTCTTGTTTCCTGGCACGGCGACCTGCCATCGTCATGGCCAACCCCCAGACGCTAACACCACACACCATCCCTGCTTTCCCACTAGATCTGGCTCCAAATCCATAAGCATATCCCAGCCTGGATCCACAGCCCTCGGTGCTGCAGTAGAGCTCCAGCCTGAGAACACGACTGACCGACTGACTGTAGGAGCCACTGCTTCCGTGTTTCCAAACCACAAGCAGCCAGAGCTGGGTGAAGGATTTTTTAATTTGGTTTGGTTTTCCAACCAAGACATTCTCAAAGTTCAATGTTCTTTGAAGTGGAAGCATTTAATTTTCGAACAAACAATTGGAAGCACAGGACCAGAGAAAACGCAGAATCGAGGACGAAGGTCAGGATACGCAAAAATAAGGAGCAGGGAGGTAGCTGAGTTCAGGAATGTCCAGGGAGTCTTGGCATGGGAGCTCACACCAGCTGGCCAGGCACTCTCTTTCCAGGGTGTCTCAAGGGGAAATCACCCATCGATCCTAGGACACACTGGTTCTAGGACCAATCCCTTACCTCAGAACAGCCTCTGCCTCACATTCCTGCTTGCGCTTTAATGTTTAAATTATTAAATGCATTAATGTATTTACAGTATTCAAGTCTTATGTGCATTTTTCTAAGATAATTTATGTATAAGAGTTTGAATGTCCATGACTGTTAATGTCTACAACCCTTCCTGTTCATTATTGATTCTGGAAGAAAAAAAAAAAGTCCGAGTTTTAATGCCTTATTTTTAATGTATTAAGAGTCTGAATAAGTGCATTCTCTTTCTTCTTCTGTGATTTCATGCTTTAAGTAGTGCATTTATTAAACTGACACAGTAGGAACTGTGGCGAAGCCTGGCACGGCCCCACGCTGCGGGAGCCGCCAGCGGGAGAGGCGCGCCTGCTCCTCTGCCACCAGCGCTCAGCACTCTTCCCACCTCCGCGAGGCCGGGAGGGCGGCCGAATTTCGAATTTTGGGCGTGCAAGGAGATTTCTCTTCCACCTTTTTAAAGCTCTTGCCCAGGTCCTCTCTCCTTGGTAAGTGGGTTTCCAATTAAGGTTTTTCTGCTCATCGGAAGCCCTCCTCTGGTGTGCTCCAGCTGATATCCAAACAGAGCTCACGGTCAGCACACAATTTTCAAGAACAATCAAAATACCTAGCTTAGCATGGCAAAAACAGCCAACAAAACAACTACTTTTAAAGGGGGATCTCAAAATGCAAACATCTCAAACAAACGACACCTCCATTTAGGCAGAAAAACAACTTTCTTTTGAAATCCAGTTTCCCCAGCGTAACAGCCCTCTTTCAACTATAGACAATAGAGCGACAGTGACACCCAATGGCCTACAAGTTCATCCCAACTGAGCATTCCCCCGGCTCTCCCCGAGGTGGGTCTCAGGCCCAGAGTTCCTGTGCCAACATGGAAGCTAGAAGGAAGTATCAGCTACTCATCAAGAAGCTGAAGTGCTAATGGATAAATTTCTTGCCACTACATGGAACACACACACAGTATGTAATCATGCACGTGTGTACAAACAGCACATCAGAGCACACGTCAGTACAGTCTTTCTGGCGGGTGACGTGAGAACGTGCGTACATGCACACACACAGATGCACAATACGTGGACTCAGCCACACTGTACAAATCAACTTGGAGTGGGAGAAAAGATGCCAGACGTAGTTCACTGCCATTTCAGAATCTGACTCTGCCATTTCAAATGTCACATAGATATATACACACACACACATACACAACAAACTTATAATATGTATACGCTACATCGGTTTTTAATATACTTTCTCCTTTTTTTTTTTTCCTGTTTCCTTTCTTTTTCTTCTTCTTTTCTTTTTTGGCTACTCATTACCATTCTTTAACTGTTACAATTTATATCAGCATATAATGTTAAATAATTACAGGGAGCCGAGCACACTCTAGTGAGGATATAAACGCGCTGTGGGAATCTACAGATTTAAACAAATAACACTCACAGCAGGGGGTGAGCGGATGAATTAGCATTAATATCTTGCCTGGGAGATCCCAGTGCACTGGTACTGCTTAAATACAGATCTTTTCTGTAACAGTCAGTATGACAGCTCCCAGCAACACGGCCCCTCCCCTTTCCCAGTCAATATAGCAGCCAGTGAAAACAGAAACGTCCCTATAGCAATCAATATAGCAGCCAGCTAAAATAAACCCTTCCCTTTTAAGGGCTATATAATAGTCAGCTAAACGGAAGAATTGGCACCCCTGCTGGATAGCTCAGCAGAGAAGCCAAGGAATGAACAGGCTACAAGCACTAAACGATCCTTCTGCTCCTCCAAAAGGCCCTGCCCAGGAAGGGAGAAGACATCCATAGGTAGGCAACCCAGAGGGAGCCTGTGGAGAGACACTTGGCAGGCTGCTCCTGGTCCCAAGGAGTAAATGTGCAGGGCACCCCTAATTGAGGTTTAATTAATACGGCCAGAAACTCTAGAATCCTTGTTCAAACTGTCAGCTGGAACGAGGGAACATCTCTCTCCAGTGGGGAGTGAGAGTATCTTGATTTGAACCCCGCTTTGCCCCCGCCCTGCTCCCACCCTAGCCCCAGAAGGGAAGAGTATTAAGTTAACAGCCTGTGGTTTTCTATTTTCCTGCAGCAGGAATAGTGGTTGTGTCAGAAACAGACATCGAGCCAAGTGGGTGAAAACACAGCATTCTATGTTGAAAGCTGCCCTGCAGATTAACAGAACTCATGTTTAAAACTCACAGCCATCAAATTTATTAAATACTGTAATGATATCATATTTTCCCCCATTCACAGCATAGAAAATACTCTCCTTCCTTAGAGACATATAGGAAAGAAGTTTTCCTGCAACAGAATTCAGAGGATGGCTCACTCTGAAGGCCCAACTAGACCAAAGGCCTTTAAAAAAAGAAAAAGAAAAACAACAAGGAACATTTAAGAGAGGCTCCTGTGCATCTGAAGTAATTGTTCTTTTTCATTATAACTAGCTACTTCTAAAATTAGTTCAGTAAGATTTATGAATTTGATAAATGTGGAATATGACCACTGACACCAGTGCAGGTTTCCCACAAATACTCCTGAAGTTAATGCTGGGATTTGGTTATGCTCCAAAGCAGATGAACATCAGGGACCCACCCCACCTTCATTAAAATTCCACAATCTGTCTGCCATCCTTTTGAGTAAACCCACAGAGGGTCCCTGTTTCCCTGGCCAGGTGTTTATCACCCAATGATGTTCATGTCATCAATCAGGTGACTCAGTCAAGTGCCACAGTGTCAGAAACTGCAGGAAGAAAGATCCGACAAGTCCTAGTTTGAGAGCTCAAGTCCTTAAAAATTTAGATCCTGACACCCCACCTAAGCCGTGAGAATGCTCTCTTTTACTTCAGGAATTCCAGGTAAATGCCATCTTAGGAGAGAAAAAGGTTAATAAGGTCAAGGCCCTCTCCTGGCAATCAACATTCTGTGTAGGAACCCTATAGGCCGTCCTAGGAAAGCCTAGCAAGCTTAGTCACACTGTGATCCTGGTACCCATTCAAGGGAGGAAATGGATACGTGGGGAGACCCACGATTTTGCAAAATGCAGTATCACAAAAAGTGAGTTCCTGTTACGATTTGACATGGCATTAGCTTCTAGAGCTGAAGCCAGTGAGTACTTTATAAAATTCAATGTACGTGGATGTTTCCATTTCTAAACCACACACAGAAACTGGGGGGGCGTAGACTCTCAATCTGATGGCAGTAAACCTGGAGAGAACTCATCACGATGTTAGCAGAGACTCCACTTCAACTACAGATGCCATCACGATCATCATCAAAGCAGTGGGCGGAGTGTGGGGGGTGTGCAGGGGAGAAAGAGGGAGAAAGAGAGACAAATGAAAGGGAAAATAATTATGAACGGGAAGGAGAAAAGAGAGACATGAAAGAAAAGATCACAGATAACAGAAGAGGTAACAAAATAAAAACAGAAAGACGAAAACCTTACTTTGGCATTTACAGTTTAAAGGTTTCAGGGCATTTTATGAAATGACAGTTGCAATAAAACAAACAGAATGGTGAGTCATCTGGTTTCCAACTTCTGAGTCAAAAGGGGCTGTTTCTAGACAAACTACAAAGCAGCACTGCTGCCTGCACACTTAACGATGCCTATCACAGCTACAGAACAGGATGTGGAGAGAGAGAACGGGGAGGTGGGAGTGAGCACTGTCTTTGCTGGTCTCAGTGTCCCTGTGAATAAAGACTGTCAAGATTTAAACCATAATAATGGAAAGGCTATAAAGGTCTCAGCCATAATGTTTCCTCTGATGTTCCCTTTCATAAAATGCCCGCTTTATGTTGCCTACGTGGCAATGGTACACTAAACATCTGCGTACCAGTGGGAATGCTGCACCCTAAGTTCCCAGCGGGCAGCAACTGGGCACTCCAGCCCCTTGGCTCACCATCACCATCTACATAAGTGAGCGCGCGCGGGCATGCACGCACGCACGCACGCAGAGACACACACACACGCCACAAGCATGTGCTGAGTGCCTACTTCCTGCTAGGAGCTGAGGGATAAGGATGTGTGCCCACTGCATACAGGGTTCAGCAAGGGGCCGAGGTGCGAAATACCCAGGAAACAAACAAACGAAAAATGTATTCTGCTTGGAAATGTGGCCATACGGCACAGGGACTCCTTTGCCACTTTAGCACCTAGCAGCCCTACACAAGAGTTTGGCAGCCTAACAGTGAGACGTAACTTTTCCCCGTCCTGTGCCAGAGCAAAGTGGATAAGCTGGAATACAAATCAGATAAACGCTCAAAAAGGGGGCTGAACTGGGCACCCACAAAGACTTGCCTTTACTTGGACTTGGCAGACGAAACTATACAGAAAACCGCTGGTTTCAAGAGAATCTTATCTGTAGCCTGTCACCTAACCATTCTAGGCACCAGGGAGCCGCAAAGAAAACAGAAACAAAACCTCTCCCCGTTAATACTGTGTAGACATGACAAAGAGGCAGGAACTAAGAAAGGACAAGGTGGACGTGAAAACCACATGTAGGGATAAAATGAAGTTGAAATCTGTACATCAGGGAGACCGTGTGATGCAATTAGGGAAGCCAAGGTACAAAGTTAGGAAAGGACCAATCTGGTCAAGCCCAGGGGCAGATGCAGAATGATAACTCGAGTTTGCTGGGTAGGCAGCCAGTGCCAACCACAAACCATCACTGGGCTGTTTTCCCTGTTGATCTATAATTGGCGAGTCTGTGATAGAGCTACCAATTATCGTTAGACCCCCTGTATTTAGTTCACAGACAAAGGGAAGCAGGAGAGACCAGTTAGTAATGAGTAAGTAATGGCCACTAAAATACATCGTATTTTACTGAGCTGCTTTGGCAGGAAAAGCCATTCAGAAAATAAAAAGTGAAAGAATAAAATAAGCTAGAGAAACTCAATTTTCTTCTTCCTTCCTCCCAAAGCCACAGTTAGGATAAAATGAGGTTTGTGCGGGTTAATCCTTATGAGGTAAGAAAAAAATGATTAAATACATTAAAAAAATCAATTGTACATTAAACCAAATCCAGGAACTGCAAAAACAAACGCTGCAGCGTTCCTCCAACCG